TTGATTAATCAATCAATTCATTTAACTTTTTTTTTGTTTGTATATAGTGCAAGGCAGGGTCCAGCTTCATTCATATTGTTTTTTCCAGCACCATTTGTTTAAAAGATCATTCTTTCCTAATTAAAATGGTCTTGGCGCCTGGCACCCTTGCTGAAAAATCAATTTACTATAAGCATAAGAGTTTATTTCTGGACTTTTGATTCTATACCATTGATCTGTACGTCATCTATACTTAGGCCAGTAACATACTACATTGATTGGTGTAGTTATGATGTAAGCTTTAAAATTGGGAAGTGTAAGTCTTCCAACTTTGTTCTTTTTATTTCAAGATTTATTTTTAGCTATTCTGGGTCCCTTAAATTTCCATATGAATTTTAGGATGAGTTTTTCTATCTCTGCAAAAAAAGTCCTAGGGATTTTTATAGGCACTGAATTGAATCTATAGGTCAATTTGGTCTGTACTGCTGTATTAACAATATTAAATCTTCTGATCCATGAAAAGGGGATGTCTGTTCATTTATTTAAATGTTCTTTAACTTCTTTCAACAATGTTTTGAGTATAAGAACTACATTTATTTGCTTAGATTTACTTTAAGTATTTCATCCATCCTGATGTTACTTTAAATGGAACTGTTTCCTTAATTTGACTATAAGCGTATTAGTCAATTAAGTGTATAAAATATAATTTACTTGTGTACACTGATCTTATATCCTACAGCCTTACTGATTTATTAGTTCAACAGTTTTATAGTGGATCTGTAGAATCCTACATACAAGATTACTTCAAGTATAGATACGTTTACTTCTTCCTTTGCAATACGGATACCTTTTATTTGATCTTTTGTCTAATTCTCTGGCTAGAAACCCTAGTACAATGCTGAATAGTAGTAGTGAGAACACACATCCTTGTCTTCTTCTTGATCTTAGTCAGAAATTTTTTTTTTTAACCATTCAGTGTAAAGTTCTGGCTTTTTTTGTAGATGCCTTTTAGCTCGCTTCTATTTCTAGTCAGTTGAATGCATAAGGATTGTTAAATCTTGTCAAATGCTTTTTCTGCATCTATTGAGATGATCACATGGGTTTTGTCCTTTATTCAGTCAACATGATCTATTACATTAATTGATTTTCAGGTATGAAATTCAGTGTACATTCTGGGGTAAATCCTACTTGGCAATGGTGAATAATCCTTCTTACATACTAATGCATTTGGTTTGCTAGTACATTTGTATCTTGGTATCTGTAGGAGATTGTTTCTAGGACATCCCAAGGATACCAAATCTTTGTGAGCTCAAGTCCCACAGCCAGCCCAGTGGAACCCATGGATAGGAAAAGTCAAGTTCTGTGAGTTCAACATCCCATAAATAACTATATATATATATATTTAAAATCTGAGATTGGTGGAATCTGTGGATTCAGAACCTGTGAGTATGGAGGGCCAAATCCATTTTGTTGAGGATCTTTGCTCTTATATTCCTAAGGGATACTGGTCTGTGGATTTCTTTCCTTATAATGTATTTGCCTGGCTTTGGAATCAGGCATGAACTGGTTTTTTTTTTTTTTTCTTTTTTTCTTTTTTTGAGATGGGGTCTCGCTCTGTCACCCAGGCTGGAGTGCAATGGCATGCCTCGGCTCACTGCAACCTCCACCTCCCAAGTTCAAGCAATTCTCCCTGCCTTAGGCTCCCGAGTAGCTGTGATTACAGATGCCTGCCACCATGCCTGGCTAATTTTTGTATTTCTAGTAGAGATGGGGTTTGTTGGCCAGGCTGCTCTCAAACTCCTGACCTCAGGAGATCTGCCTGCCTTGGCCTCCCAAAGTGCTGGGATTACAGGTGTGAGCCACTGCACTCAGGTGAACTGATCTTATAGTTTGGAAATGTTTTCTCCTAATTTTTGGAAGAGTAGATGAAGAATTAGTACTAATTCATCTTTAAGTATTTGGTAGAATTTATCTGTGGAACCTTTTAGGTCTGTGCTTTTCTTTGTTGGTAGTTTTAAAATTACCAATTCACTCTCTTTACTTCTTATAGGTCTATTCAGATTGTCTATTTCTTCTTGATTCAAGTTTTAGTAGTTTGTGCCTTCCTAGCAATTTGTCCATTTCATTTAAGTTACCTAATTTGTTGACATACAGTTGTTTTATGTAAGTATTCCCTTGTAATTCTTTTATTTCTTAAGGTAATGTACCCATTCTATTTCATGATTTTAGTAATCTAGCTCTTTTGTCTTTTTTCTTTGTTGGTATAGCTAAGGTTTGTCAATTTTGCTGATTTTTTCTAAGAACCAATTTTTGGTTTCATTGATTTTCTCTACTATTTTTCCATTCTCTGTTTACTTAATTTCGGCTCTAATCCTTACTCCTCCATTCTGCTTACTTTGCAGAAGCCTGTTTGGTTTTCTCAACTTGTCTCTCCTGGTATGGAACCTCTGTCCTACTAGAGAGCTAGGGCCATGGCAATTAGGGTCCTAGTATTCTCAGCCTTCTGCACCTGGCATAAAGTCTTTGTCTCGTAAGTGGGGGCTGACTGAAGTAAGGAAGCCCTCAACTTCTCAGCTTTGTTCACTAGGAATTTAACCTCTCCAACTTGGATTAGGAGAAGATGATAAAGCCTCACAGCCTGTCCCATATGGTGAGATATGATAACTGGTGATTGGGAGCTGAGGGGAGGAGTCCTATCTTCTTGGACACAGCCACCTAAGTGAAACCTCTGTCAAAGCCATAGTCCACTGCCACAGTCTCTTCTTGGCATTCTTACCAAGTTTTAGTAGATTTTCTTGAATAAATGTTTCTTCATTTGGTGTATGCCCTTAGGACAATTTCCAGACATTTTAAATGTTTCAAATATTTAATAGCTTTTATTTATAGTTAAAAAAAGAGTTTTCATTTGTTTTAGTTATTTTCTTGGGAGTTGGGTCTGCAAAGCTTCTTGTTTTGCTATTCTGAAAGTAAAACCAATGTGCTATTTTCTTCCCACAATTATTATCAGCTCAACTGCCCTATCAACTCTATCAGCTTGTAGAGTTTTAGAAATGATAAATCACAGTGTCAAGAATCTAACTGTATATAATCTCACTAATAATCTAATAATAATAAACTGGTATAATCATGGAGAGAGGAATTATTTTAAGCTTAAAGACCAATATTTTTAGTATATAGTTGAATATACCTACAGCAAAAACTTCAAAGAAACTATAAGCTGCACTCAGAACTATCATTATTTCTGGTAATATTACTGTCTTATTTTCAAACACATTGATATATACATATTATATGTTCGGATACAGCAAATAAGTAATTGTATTAATGTATTTAGGCCAAAATATTTGGCATAAGACAAAAAAAGATACAAGTATAAAAATTAAAGAATAAACTCATAATCTTAAATTTAAATGGAAAGTATCAGTATGCTCTCACAATTTATTTTTCTCTTTCTAAAATATATGTACTTTCCAGATTTGTCCACTGAAAAGATCAAGATGTAATGAAAACCCTAACACGCAGATTGCGGTCTCTACATACAAGGTGGGGCAGGAAGCATGCATTGTGGACATGGAACTCTGTTAAAGCAAGCTGTCAAATACTAATGGGGATGGGTCAGAAGGACTCAGGACAACCTGAAGGGGCTTCCATTGGCCAAAGATAGGACAGTTTGAATAATAATAAGTATGCAAATGCAAAAAAATTAAGCACGAATATAGAAAAAATTATGCATCCATACAATACTAAAAAAATAAACTTAAATCTCTCGGTTATCTTTGGAAGTTTCACACAACATGTGATTCCCTTTTAGGAATGGGCAGTTGCCTCTGCTGAAGACAGCTGCCTTGTCCAACATCACGCCCCATTCTAGGAGCAGCCCACAACCAGCGGCCATCCAACATGCAGGTAGAAAGGTCTGTTCTCCTCCCTCTATCTGGAAAGCAGCTCTGAAGCACCATCTTAATTTGAGAACTGTCATTCATAAGATAGCAGCAAAATTCTGCTTCTCCTCTGCACAATCCTGCTTCCTTTATCTTTGATTACAAGAGCACTTGGTAATAAAATGTCATCTAGTCAATTTCCAGTACTGCCCAGACTCTTAAGTTTAAATCACAAAGGCAACTTTAAGTGTTATTTTCAAAAAAATCCCATGAGCATATCTAGACTATGTAATTTTAATCATCAGGGGTTGATCTATCTATAAGAAAGGAAATACAACATAATGATTACAAACACTCCTTAGTACCAGATATGCTTAACACCAACATCTGTGTGACCACAGTAATACCTAGTGATAATAAACTAATATTACAATTAATAACCAAACAATTGACTAATCAGCACTTTTGAAAACATCGATCATACTAAAAGCATCGGGTAAGGTTGACAGTAGCACCTTTGGCTTGGAAAAGTTTCAAAAACTGTTTAAGTTTGGGATTCAGCCACATTACCAACACACACACACACACACACACATACACACAATTTCTCTGGAATATGGGGGAGTGGATCAAGTTATATCAACGATTCCATTTAAATCAGCACTAACAGGATTATCACAAATCTGGGTAATAGACTTTCCTCACTTCTCACCCAGACATGAATTACTGCAATCTTGAAGTGAACTGGGAAGTGACTTTTGGAAAGCTAACACGCTTTTATGGAGTTGTAGAATGTTACTGTGCCACACAAACCAAACGGGGGTATAGACTACAAAGTTCATTAGTAGTGGTAACATAATTTATTTTTCTCTTTCTAAAACATATGTCAGTATTAAAAATGAAAAGATTTGCAAAGATGTTTTCAGTGTTTCATTTACTATTGTTTTATATGCTTGCATAGGTATGTGGTGTATGTGTGAGTACAGGGGGCCTTATATAAAATGTATTTCTTTCTTTGCATTGGGGTAAAAGGTGTTTGAAATGTCTCAGGTTCTGCTCCACAAAGCCTGCAGCATAGGAAGCGGCGGGGAGGTCGCCGGTCCCTAGCGGGGCGTCCCTCCCCTGCCTCGCGGTACTTACAAAGGAGTCGCTCACGACCAGGACCACGTTGGGGGATTTGGCTGCTACACGCTTCTGCTCTCCTGCTCCAGGGGCCGGTGCCCCCAGCGCCCAGGCTGCGACCACCGACAGCCATAGCAGTAGCATCACGGGTACAGGTTCTAAGAGCCTGACGCTGGGCCAGCCGCCTCCCTCTGGCGTTCTCTGTAGCGGGGAGCTGGGCGGGGACAGCTAACAACTCCCAAAGCTTGCAGTTTGGTTTCCTGACAGTAACGCCGAGCTTCACCTTCGGAACTACAACTCCCATCAGGCTGAGAGCGCGCACATGCGCAACAGAGAAATCCCAGCTTTTTACCCACGTTAAGACCTTTTCATCAAATACCGAGCAAATCAGAACCCGGCCACTTCCAGTCACGTGACTGATGCCTGGGAAAGGCGCATGCGCTCTCACTCCAGACCCGGCGTTCGTAGAAGAGCAGCATCTGTACCAGGTGGGTTCAGATCTCTGTCGCTTTTGCACAAGGGAGCCTAAAGGCGACTGAAATGGTAGAGAAAGAAAGAATCGGGGCTGGGGCTCTTCGTTTTGGGCCACGCAAGCGTGGCTGAGTGTTGGGCGAGCTCGTGAACTGGGCGGTGATGAGGTGGCGGCGCGGCTGTCACTTAAGTTGAATAGGGCGGTTCCTTGTGGGGCCTCTGGGTGGACCGCTTCTAGTCCGCCGTGGATACCTTAGAGCCCCCCGAATACTTTCCCCAAGGAACTCTGTAGCCTGCCTCATCTTGTTGTTTCTCTCACCTGGTGCAGTCAGGATTTACTGTTCTCCCATGGGGTGAGGAGCGGGGCCTAGTAAGAAGTTTCAGGCTATCGGCGGGGAAAAGCATAGCTGTTCCTTGCCTTCAGAAAGCCAAGGAGAGAAACGAAACAGGAGGGGTAAGTGTTGGGCTGTGCGACGTGTTCAGTTAGTTAACGTAGGTTCGGAATACCATTGTTTTGCTGTAGAACAAAAACCGATCTCTTCTGACTGTTGAATTCCTTTGGAGATTTCTGGAAAAAGCAGATTTCTGTCTCAAAGCCAAATTCCAATTTCAGTATCGTAGTTTCAGGTATATAATTTGCACATCACACTAGTAGTTTTAATATTTTGACAGTAAAGAGAGAAGTTATAGTACTTATTTAACATAAGTCAACTGAATACTAATATCTAGCAGTTTTTTTTGCATAATTGTAATAAGGAACAGATTTATTTATTTAATACTCACATGGCAATTAGGTGCTGAGCATAATACTAAGAATCTACTGAGCATCTACTGCATGCCAGGTACTTTTACATGGAATATTTTTCATAATCCTCACTTTCACCATATTGCAGATAGGAAAACAAGTTTGGAGAGGTTAAATGACACACCTGAGTTTACACAGGGAATTGGTATGAGCACGACTGGAAATTCAACAGTCTGTGCTTTAACTAAATGCTTTGTCTACAGTTTATTACTAAATTTCATGATAGTCTACCGAGTTTGTTAGTATAGCTGAATTGTTCCTCAAGCAGCATAATAAACATCTGCGGGAGCGTGCAAAATAAACAGAGCCGGGCACGGTAACTCATGCCTGTAATCCCAGCACTTTGGGAGGCCTAGGCAGATGGATCACCTGAAGTCAGGAGTACAAGACCAGTCTGGCTAATGTGGTGAAACTCCGTCTCTATAAAAATACAAAAAGTAGCTGGGCATGGTGGCAGGCGCCTGTAATCCCATCTACTAGGGACGCTGAGGAAGGAGAATTGCTTGAACTCAGGAGGTGGAGGTTGCAGTGAACTGAGATCACACCATTGCACTCCAGCCTGGGTGACAAGAGCAAAACTCTGTCTCAAAAAAACAAAACAAAACAAACCTAAACAGTAGTTTCGGTTTACATGAGGTTAGTTTTCAGGGAAGCAAAATCTAGCATATATGAAATAATACAGCATGGAAGGTGATACAAGTGGGTTCCTTTATGAATACAAATTTGTTTTGAGTTAATTTGGAATATAGGACATATTTCTACCATAGAGACAATATTGACTGACATTTAAATTCATATAAGTTATATTTAGCTTTGTGGCTGATTCCATAAACTGTACTTACTCTCTACGGCCTTGTTTCCACAGAACATAACATCAGAGGTGATGACAGGATTACAAGAATACATCTTTTTCTTCTTTCTCCCCTTGGCAGTGTCAGTAGGAGCAGGTGCTGCAGTGGGTTGGAGCAAGACAGATATTTTAGAGCCTTAGAGACATTGTGCTGGAAGAATCTAAGAGGCTTCTAGTCCTACTTCCCATCTGACATTCAGTTTATCCTAAAACATTCCTGCTAAGGGGATTGTCCAGCCTGTGCTTTTTCATCTCCAGTGATGGGAAACCCTTCCATTGTACACCTCATCCCATATTTATATAGGTCTAATTATTAAAAGTTCCTATTTTAAGTTGAAATTTCTCTATTTTTAACCATACATTAGTTCATTTTTCTTCACTTTTACATGGATAATCGCTCCCTTTCAACAGTTCTTCCCCCAGCTTCCTCTCCACCATTTATTTTTTTTCCAGTTCCCAGTTTCTTCAACTAGTTCTCATGTAATTTCAGGTTTCCTCACTGTTTTGATCACTTTTTTGTGAACATACAGCATTTTTGCTAATCAGTAACTTACACTCTCAGAAAAGGTACTTTTGTGTGTGCACATGCATGTGTCTGTGTGTTACAGTGAAGGTAGGGCATCTCTGTTAGTCTGCAAGGGCTGCCATAACAAAATACCACAGACTGTGTGGTTTAAGCAAAAGAAATTTATTTTCTCATAATTCTGGAGGCTGGAAAGCCAAGATCTTTGATTTTTTCAGAGGCCTCTTTCTCCTTGGCCTGCATTTGGCCACCTTTTCTCTAGGACCTTACATAGTCTTTCCTTTAGGCATGTACATCCCTTATGTTTGTGTGTGTGTGCCCAGGTTTCTTCTTTTAAGGTCAACAGATTGGATGGGCCTACCCATATCACCTCATTTAAACTTCATTACCTCTATAACGGTCCTATCTCCAAATACTGTCACGTTCTGAGGGGTTAGGATTTCAATATATGAATTTTTGGAGGACATAACTCAGCCCTTAAAAGGCTCCATTACAAACATGTATGTTTAAGTCATCAGTTACAGATTTTTAAGTTCGAGATTGGTTGCTTGAGTGAAATACTCTGTGGTTCAGAAAGATCTTTAATAAAAGATCTAGGTTTTGATTCTCTGTAGTTCTTTTAATGTCCAGAATACCCGCAACACCATATTCTGCCTTAAGAAAAGGAGACTAAATGTGCAGCTTGTGATGGTGTGGAATATGTTAGTATTGTCCTCACATCTGCATTGTACCAGACACTGTAGGGAAGAAAAGAAGGAACTAGAAATAGTCTCTGCTCCCAGGAAGTCTCCAGTCTAGTTTTTGGAGGCACACAGACATAAACATCTGTGAGTTTAATAGCAGCGTAAAAGGTATCAAAAAGTATAGTTAATGCTAAATAATCAAAAACCAAAAACTATAATATCCCAAATTGTACTTTGGAGACTGCTTGTGTACTTCCAAATGTTAATTGGTTTTCACTGAAATAAATGTTCCATCATCACAGAAGTTTTAGAATTGCTGGGTTAAATTAACTTTGGGTCTTCATTGTAGGAATTCTCAGAGACTTTAAAAAGATAATTTACTTTGTGACTTTGAAAGACTGAGAGATACAGCCTATAATATTCACAAACTTAGGCCACTCATTAATACCCTTAAGCATGTTAATGTTTCTTGGAATACATTTTTGGAAGTGTTAGTATAGATAATAAATGCTATAAATTTAGACAAGTGTGACATTGGTCTGGGAAGGCTATATGCTTAACAGTTGAATTTGGCCTTGAAGTATGTGCAACATGTGAGTAGACAGAAGCGAGGGTAGACAGGGTAAATGGGAGAAGCAAAGATGTACAGATAGAAGACTGGGGGGGTGATTAAAAAAAAGTAATGTAAACTAGTATCAAAACATTAACAAGCCTTTCGATGGTGTAAAAGAAAATAAAACTCTTAAGGCCCACAAACTCACTATGACAAGGGGAAGGTTAAGCCTGGGATGTGAGTCATGCAACACTGCCATTCTTTTCCCCTAAACAGATAGTTTGTAGTTTCACAATGTTAGGTCATAGTCTTACACATAAGCTAGGTTCCCACAACGACAAAAGGCCATATACCTCTTCAGATGGCCTCCTCCCCAAATTGCTCACAAGGAAATTCCTTGCAGGCTCCTAAATCTTTCAAGATACATATTCTCTTATAAAACAAGCACATGCCAATTGTAATCTTGGGTCTGCAACCTAAATTTAACTCCTGAAATTAAGTTCTGTTAAATCTCACACTGAAAATGTTGATTGCAAGCTTATCTTCCCAGGTACAGAACTAGGACAAGATGAGATCAATCACTCTTAACACCTACCCTGACATGGTTGCATAATTGACTCTTTTCTCCCTCTTTTCAGATGTGTGCATTATCTTATGTAGAAGGTAGATTTATTGAGCTCTAATTAGAGCCTCAGGATAATGTAACCCTTTGCCTCACTGCCCACTTCCTTCCCCCCATTTTTTCCCTCCTGCATGCTCTCCCCTAGAATACTGAGTTCTCAAAGCCGTCTTTGGAAAGTGAGGGTCACAGATGCTTCGATGTCTTGTTTTTCCCAGGCGTGTTCTCAAAGTATGGCTCAATAAACCTCTACTGATTGAGACACTTCCATCTGTCTTTCATTTTTTTGTTAACACTGGTAAGCTATGGAAGCTGGAAGATCATTAGCTATTTATTGAATATGTATTACTCAGTAAGTGTTGGTTATATAAGAAGCTCTGAAAATTTAAGACCTGCATCTAAGAATTTATTGAATTGGGAGACAGGATATGTCTATAGAGGATAATGAAAATAATATTCGTTATGTTTTAGTTGAGTAGCTCAGTTAATAAGTGGTTTGGAGGAGGGAGTGGTCCCTGTTGTAGGCTATACTCTGGTATTCATGTAGTGTAGTAATTAATTTGAAGAGGATACTCATGTCTGATGATAGCTGTCTTTTGAGGAATACAGATGCTTCTTGACTTATGATGGAGTTACACCCCTTAAACCCATTTTAACTTGAAAATATTGTTAGTCAGAATGCATTTAATACTCTGATAAGCCCATCGTTAAGTCAAAAAATTGTAAGTTGAACCATTTGTAAGTCAGGGGCCATTTGTATTGGTAAGAAGTTTACTTCATGAGAGCAAGGAAGGAGTAGGTTGCAAAGAGGGTTGAGGATTTTGAATGTGTAGAGACAGTTTATAATAACCACTGAGTTATCGCACTAGCCATTTTAGGAATGGCAAATAGTGAAGTTTATTGAGAGAATAACAGTAGGTAGGAGATTATTAGTGTAGATTATGTCCAAGCACTCCATCTATGTATGTATCAGGTAAGTGATGTAATTCTTACTTTACCAATGAGGAAATGGGCTTGGTGAAATGAAGTCAGGTGCCCAAGGTCTAATGGCTTTAATCCTAGATCCATTTGATTTCCTAAACTCACTCTCAACTAGGGTAAGCCCTGCTGGGTGGATGTGACAGTGAAGGGGCTGACAGGATCTAGGGTGTTTTGTAAGCAGAGCTGAAGTGACTAAGTAATAAAACTAGATTGGGTGAGGAGGGCAGCCAAGTGTTACCAGGGCTCAAGAAGCCAGTGAAATGGGTTTGTACCTTTTCTTTTTTAACTTTTATCTTACTTTCTTAAACATTGTTTGGATTACTGGACTTTCTTTTCTTACCAGTAAGACTTTTTACTGTTGAACTGACACTTCTATTTAGGTCGATCATTAACGAGTGTTTTGGTTTAGTGAACTTTTCATTCCTTGTTCGTCCCTACCTACCTCGCCTACATTGTTTACCTCCTAGCATTTTTTTTTCACTTTATTCAGCTTTTCAGAAGTGCCTCCATTCTCTCCAGGGAGCATTCTAGATTATTTTTTGTTTGACAGCAGCTACTTCAGGGATGCTATCAAAATATCCTTGGAATTTGTAGATGTATAGTCAGTTGTGTTACTGTTTTAAATGACTATTTAAATGCATTATTAACATTAAATTTTTTTTCTCTGTTTTCATTAGATTATAAACTATAATTATATTATACTCCTTATGTTCCTTAGAACAAAGTGCTATTTTAATATAATTAGGCTGCAAATTGGGTGTAAATAAGTACGCTTAGTTGTCGGTAGATGTCCTTGATTCAAAGCAAAAGAAATAGTAGATATTCTTTTTTGGCTCAATTTTTTTATGTTGACATAAGTGTATTTTGGGTTTCTGAAATGGTTTTTCAAGATCCTTCTGATCTCTTATAGAAGTTTCCTTTTATTATCTGAAGCCTTAGGAATATAGTTTAGACCAATTCAGAAATTTGGATATTAAGATTAGTGTCTCTCTGGGAAATATAAAACATACTAAAAATTGTACATAATTATTTCTTATCTTTTAAATTATAAATTATGAAAATTGAATCTGATGCATTAAAAAGTTCAGAAGGTTTTGGGTTGTGGGTGTCATCCTTTTTATATGACTTTCTCATATTTGTTTTTATTTAATTTAGATGGAAAACGGTTAAGGAACAATCTGAAATTGAATTCAGGAAGAATATAGAGGTGGTAATAATAGGTAAAAGGTAAGTGTCTAGAATGCTAAATAATAAATTGGAATCTATTTTTACTTAATGATTGTTTTTACTTGTTCCTTTCAGAAGAAAGAGATAATGGCATCTTCCTTTTTTTTTTTTTTTTTTTAAATGTCAAGCTATGGGTCATCACAAAATATCTTTTGTTATTAGATTTAAAGGTATTTTTTTCTTTTCTGTAATTAGCTTCCATTGTCATTATCATTACTATTATTGTTGTGGCTTTGTGGAATCTTTGTATGGGCATATTGGACTATTATTTAAGGTTTCATAGCCTCAACTGGAGTAGGACATATCAGTTCACTTACCTATATATGTTGTCTTTGAGGAATATCATTGCCTTTATGGCATGGCTGTCACTTTCTAACCCTTTTTAAGTGCAATTGTTGCAACTTTTTATGCTTGATTTATGTTGGATAAAAATATTTTGCTTTGGTAGTAGAAAAAGTTGAGTGAAAATGTACAAAATGAATGCTCTTATTTAAAAAAAGCCAGTTGAGATTGAGGAGAAAAGTGGGAGGAGAGGTATAATAGGAAAGAATTAATAGGGAGTTGTGGTGTGGAAGAATAATAAAGGCATTTCTCTCTTGCAAGAGAGCTAGACATTTCTTTGAAGTGTTAGAAATCCTTACAATCAAGGGAAATATCCAAAATAGAGAAGTATGAGGTTACATGGAATCATTTTGGATAGTAGGTTTTTACTCTTGGAAGGAAAATGTGTTGAGTGGTACCTAGTAGATCGTTGGATCTCAGTAAGTGTTTGTTTAGAAAATTGGTGAATGGACCTTTCCCTTTCCCCTCAAAAAAAAAAAAAAAAAAGGAAGTAGAAGCTTTTAGGGTTGAAAAGGGACAGATTATTTTATCTTTTTAAAAATTAACCTTCTGAAACTTATATACATACATATGTGTATATGCATGAGTGAGAGAGGACCTCATTGCTAGCTTATGCTAAATGTTGCATCAAATGAGGGAGTTGGAAGAGAAGAATAGAGGATTCTATTGTAGCATGAAGAATTGTAATTACACATGGAGACATACAGATATTGAAGGATATTTAATATTAGAATAGGTTACCAAGAGAAAAATGGTGTTCGTTTCTATATAGTGGTCTTTCAAAATACCTACTTAAAAATTCCTAATGGCTTCATATTTGCTGCTGTATTTAAGTCCAAACTTGTCTGTTTGACTTTCAGTATCAGTAATCTGAGGCTCTACTTTACCTACCCAACCTAATTTTCTTCTGTTCTTTAATAGGTCCCTTCTGATCCATGCAGGCTGGTTTTCTCATGTTACCTATACTTCCCACAACTCGTTCCTACTTCTCTCACTTTGCTAATGAGTTTGCCTCTGAGTAGAGCAATTTTCCTTCTTCCCTCCATTCTTAAGTCTTGTCGTCTTCTATTAATAATAGCCATTAATTACATCACACCATACACCTTTCCTTCTCTGAATTCCTATTGCACTTCCACTCAGTACTCTTAGTTTAGCGTTTGATTATTGAGTGAATCATATGCCTTAAGTCTTTCTCTTGATTTAGATTATATTCTTTTTTTTTTTTTAATGTCATGCACACCAAATAGCTTGGGGGCTGCATGTAGTTTAGTAGGGTTGGTTCTACCTTATTTGTGTACATGCCCTCTTAAATGTTGGGTGATAAAATAGATGGTAAACTTCCTCCTTATGTAATGGTTGTACTCTTCTGTTTGTTTTTAATTTGAGACTTTTTTTTTCCTTTTTAACTTGGAAATCTTTTGATTTTTTTACTCGAGTGTCTCTTTTTGTCTCTTTTTATTGATCTAGATCAGCTGTCATCATCCTTGATGTTTTCTTCTTTGTAGTCTGCAGGTTTTTTTTTTTTAACCAAAGGAAACTGGTTTGAGAAAATTAATTGTGAAATCAGCATTGAAATTTGTTCTCTAACTCCAATCAAGATTTGCAAACTACAAAAAAAGTGTTCTGAAGTTCTCACCTGTAAATATATATCAAGATAATTTCAGATAAGGTAGTAGTTTCTAAAGCAAGAATATATGAAATATGGTGCTTTAAATTATATAATTATTGTAAGTAGGCAAAAAAAGGTTACTTATCTTCCTATTTAGGGGATCTGCTTCTAGTTGTAGATAAAGTGATTTTATGGTACCTTAATTTTTCTATTATTTTGAATGCCAACATTTTTTAAGCCAAAAAGATTTAAAAATATATATCTCACTTCTCAGACTGATTTGGTCTCATATTTCTGTGTTAGCTGCTTCTTTGGATATAAAGGACTGTCAGTGTACCATGTCAGTGATTCATCTTTTTGGTATATTTTGCTCCCTTGAACATCTGGAGTCAATAAGTACTTAATATTTACCACAACTTGTTTTACCTTTCTATGAGATTAGAGGAGCTGACAGAAAATACAAATGTTTATTTTTTTCAATAATTTTCAGTATGATTGAATTTGACTTGTTTACAGGTAAGCCAGAATAAGTTGTGAAATCTTAAAATATACCAATTTATTTAAAATTAATGTATCTTAAAATTAAATAAAGAAATACTTTGTTATGAATTAAAATATATTTTTATGGCTGAAATTGGTGTACAACCCTTTTGTATTATCCATTGCTTCCATTCAAGTTTAAACATTGTTTTTCTTTAGAGAAAGTACAGGTAATAATCCTACAGTGTCCTTATTGTGAAAAAAGTTAATATCCTGATTTATATATATCACAGCCACTAGCATTAAAATAATGCTTTCTTAAACTTTCATATCACAGTCACTGAAATTATTTTTGTTAGTGTTTTATCTGTGACTTGGGCTTATTCTACTGGATCTTGCTTAGAATAGAGTTGGATTGAGATTGGTATGTGTTTGGAGTCCTGATCAACAAGATCATTTGCATTTTAGCCAAAATATATGGAGAATGAATGTAAATCAAATGTAACTCAATTTTAACACTTATTAATTGATCATCTATAATTTATAAGATATTAGGTCCTGGGGATGGGGCAGTGAAAAAAAATTCTTGCCTACATGGAACTTACATTCTTGTGGGTTGGGACACAGAAAATAAATAGGATAAATAAGTAGAATATATAGTATATTACATGTGACAAATGCTTTGAAGAAAAATAAAGCTATGGGGGGGGGCGGTTCAGGAAATACTGGGTTGTTGAGAGTAGGGGGATGGCAAGATTAAAATGTTAAATAGCCTGTGGAGGGAAGGTTTCACTGAGGTGAGGAAGTGACTTTGAGTACAAATCTGAAGAGGTTAGGGAATAAACTGTGTATATGCCAGAGGGAAGACTGTTCCAGATGGAAGGAGGCTTTTCCTTTTCCAGGTTCCCTTTTCAGATGGCTAAGTTTGTTGGAACCTTTACGGTTGGGTAGATATGACTGTAAATTCACTCAGGCTTTTCTGCCTTGACAGAATGTCCAGCAAGGAAGTGAAGACTGCTCTAAAAAGTGCTAGAGATGCAATCAGGAACAAAGAATATAAAGAAGCTTTGAAACATTGTAAGGTAACCAGTATTTTTTTCTTCCTTAATAAAAGTATGTTACCCATTCATAAACATTATTGATTTGTAGTATGTGAATTATTTACTATCCAAACACAACAAAAGTGGTAAGGCCCGTTTTGTAGAACCATTAGAATGGTTGGACTTTTAACACCCAATTAGCAGGATAAACTACTACTGCCAAACTTAATTTTCTCTGTATTGGTAACTTATCAAAGCCAAGTTCTTAAAACCTGAATATCCTATAAATGTATTTGGATAGTTGTATCATGGAATACTGCTGTGTCTTAAAGTTTTCATTGTTTAATGATATGTAAGTGTTCTAATTCTGTTTGGTTTGTGGATGAGAGGATCAAGATTATAAAGCTCATTTTTATGCTGATGGCTATGTTTCTATTCAGAGGGAGAAACTGATCTTAGGGGAGAGACAGAGGGTAGTACTAGGAGTGAAGTCATCAGTAGGTGAGAGACACAATGGGATCCAGAGCTTGAGGGGGCCCTTTAACCCTTTTTCCATCTTAACAGGAGAGAATATAGGTGCCAATCCATACAGTGTTAGGCTTGCAGATTTGGTGGTGGGAAGAGCTTTCTTCTCTAATGGCTTCTGTTTTCTTGGTGAAGTATAAGATGAAACTGGGAGAAGACCTGGTTAGGAGGTTTGAGATAAAAGAAGGTATGAAATAGTTTCTTTCTTTCTTCTTTCCTTTCCTTTCCTCTTTTCTTTGTTTCTTTTTCTTTCTTTCGTTTCTTTCTTTTTTTCCCTGGTGGGAAAACAAACAAGCTAGTAAGGACTGGAAAGATTAGCCAGTGCTAGTGATTGCCCATTTGAAGTTTCAAGCTATTAAAGCGAAATTGGTGAACTCCATTGTAGTTTTCTCTCTTCGTATTTAGCTTCTCAGGTTTGGAGATGGGAATGATAGGGTTCAACTATGGATGAAGAGAAAAATGAGAGGAAAGACATGCAAAGGAGTTGAGGATGTAATGACAAGGGAGTGAGGACAGTGATGAGTCCTGGAGTCTGAGCTGGGTAAGGGGAATGAGAAATGAGAAGTGGGCTGATAGGCAATGGAAAAATGGGTTAAGGTAAAAAAAAAAATTAGTGAGGACGGATCCAAGATGGCCAATTAGGAGCAGTTAAGGATTGCAGCTCCCAATGAAAGCACGGAGGGTGAGTGGACGCTGCATTTCCAGATGGATTTTTATTGCCCACAGAACATGAGATTCCCAGGCAGAGGAGCCCCACGGGTCATCAGCGTGGCTGTTTTGGCTGGTGCAGTGGGTCTCCGCACAAAATTCACAGGTCCAGGCACCGTTTTAACTGGCTACTGGAGCTCCTGGGAGAGACAGTCGCCCATTCAACTGATAAAAAAGGGGACTGAAACAGGGAGCCAGGCCAGGAGATTCCAGGGCAAAAAAGTGCCGCGAATCTCAGTGCGGCTATTTCAGTCAGCACAGTGGGTCGCCGCAGGGGAAATCACACAGATTCTGGTGCCTTTAAAACAGGCGACTGGAACACCTGGGAGTGTTCAGTTTTCAACTGAAAAAAAAAAGGGGTCTGAGGCAGGGAGCCAGGTGATCAGGCTCAGCTGGTCCCACTCCTACAAAAAAACAGCAATCGGAAACACTCTGGATTGAGAGTTTCACAGCAAGCACAGCTGAATCCAGGATGGTCCAGCTCTGTGGGGGAGGGGCATCCACCATTACCAAGGCAGTCCACCACTACAGAGGTAGTCCACCATTGCTGAGGCAGCCCGCCATTGCCAAGGCAGCCTGCCATTACAGAGAGAGTCCGCCATTACAGAGGTGGGCCGCCACTGCCAAGGCAGTTCTAACTATACCCGTATAAACAGGACTGCAGGGAAGTTCACATGGCAGCTGGGCGGAGCCAACAGCAGCTCAGCAAAGCCTCTGCAGGCAGACTGTGACCAGGCTGCTTCCTCACTGGGCAGGGCAGTCCTGAAAAAAGGCAACAACACAACAGAAACTTATAAATAAAGCCCTAACTCCCCAAGACAGAGTACCTGGGGGGAAAAAAAAAAAGGTGTTTATGAGTTCTGCTGCAGCAGACTTAAACATACCTGCCTAGCAGCTCTGAATGAACAATGGAGCTCACAGCTCTGCAGTTGAGTGCCTATAAAGGACAGACTGTCTCCTCAAGCAGCTCCTAGACCCCTGTATATCCAAAGAGTCACCTCATAAAGGAAAGCTGAGACTGACATCTGGCGGATATCCTTCTGGGATAAAGATAGCAGAAGAAGAAACTGGCAGCAACCCTTACTGTTCTGCAGCTGCTGCAGCTGATACCCAGGCAAGCAGGGCCTGGAGTGGACCTCAGCAGTCCTGCAGCAGAGGGACCTGAATGTTAGAAGGAAAACTAAGAAACAGAAAGAAAGAACTTCAACATCAACAAACTGGACTTCAACTCAGAGACCCAATCTGAAAGTAACAACTACAAAGACGACAGGTGGATAAATCCACAAAGATGGGAAGTAACCAGCGCAAAAAGGATGAAAATATCCAAAATCAGAAAGCCTCTCCTCTTACAAGGGATCACAACTCCTCACCAGCAAGGGAACAAGGCTAGATGGAGAATGAATGTGATGAATTGACAGAAACAGGCTTCAGAAGGTGGGTAATAACAAACTTCTGTGAGCTAAAAGAACATGTTCTGACCCAATGCAAAGAAACTAAGAACTTTGAAAAAAGATTTGATGAAATGCTAACGAGAATAAACAGCTTAGAGAGGAATAAAGTGAATTGATGGAGCTGAGAAACACAAGAACTTCGCGAAGCATACACAAGTTTCAACAGCCGAATTGACCAAGCAGAAGAAAGGATATCAGAGGTCAAAGATCAACTCAATGAAATAAAAAGAGAAGGCAAGATTAGAGAAAAAAATGGTAAAAAGGAATGAACAAAGTCTCCAAGAAATATGGGACTATGTGAAAAGACCTAATCTACACTTGATAGTGTACCAGAATGTGACGGAGAGAATGAATCCAAGCTGGAAAACAGTCTTCAGGATATTATCCAGGAAAACTTCCCCAACCTAGCAAGGCAGGCCAATATTCAAGTCCAGAAAATACAGAGAACACCACAAAGATATTCCTGAAGAAGAGCAACCCCAAGGCACATAATCATAAGATTCAACCAGGGTTGAAATGAAAGAGAAAATGCCAAGGGCAGCCAGAGAGAAAGGTTGGATTACCCACAAAGTTAAGCCCATCAGACTCACAGCGGATCTCTCAGCAGAAACCCTACAAGCCAGAAGAGAGTGGGGGCCAATATTCAACATCCTTAAAGAAAAGAACTTTCAACCCAGAATTTCATATCCAGCCAAACTAAGCTTCATAAGTGAAGGAGAAATAAAATCCTTTATGAAGACGCAATTACTCAGAGATTTCATAACCACCAGGCGTGCTTTACAAGAGCTCCTGAAAGAAGCACTAAACATAGAAAGGAACAACCAGTACCAGCCACTCCAAAAACGTACCAAATGATAAAGAGCATTGACACAATAAAGAAACTGCATCACCTAATGGACAAAACATCCAGCTAGCATAAAAATGGCAGGATCAAATTCACACATAACAATATTAACCCTAAATGTAAATGGGCTAAACGCCCCAATCAAAAGACACAGTCTGGTAAATTGGATAAAAAGCCAAAACCCATCGGTGTATCCAGGAAACCCATCGTACATGCAAGGATACACAAAGGCTCAAAATAAAGAGATGGAGGAAGATTTACCAAGCAAATGGAGAGCAAAAAAAAACAAAACAGAAGTTTCAATTCTCGTCTCTGATAAAATAGACTTTAAAGCAACAAAGATCAAAAGAGACAAAGAAGGACATTACATAATGGTAAAAGGATCAATACAACGAGAAGAGCTAATGATCCTAAATATATACACACCCAATGCAGGAGCACCCAGATACATAAAGCAAGTTCTTAATGACTTACAAAGAGACTTAGACTCCCACACAATAATAGTGGGAGACTTTAACACCCCATTGTCAGTATTAGACAGATCAACGAGACAGAAAATTAACAAGGATACCCAGCACTTTAACTCAGACCTGGAATAAGCAAACCTAATAGACATTTACGTAACTCTCCACCTCAAACCCATAGAATATACATTCTTCTAAGCACCACATCACACCTACTCTAAAATTGGCCACATAATTGGAAGTAAATCTCTCCTCAGCAAATGCAAAAGAACGGAAATCATAACAAACAGTCTCTCAGACCACAGTGCAATCAAGTTAGAACTCAGAATTCAGAAACTAACTGAGAACCACACAGTTTCATGGAAACTGAACAAGTTGCTCTTGAATGTTGACTGGATAAACAATGAAATGAAGGCAGAAGTAAAGATGCTCTTTCAAACCAACAAGAATGAAAACACAGCATACCAGAATATCTGGGACACATTTAAAGCAAGTGTCCAGAGGAAAATATATACCAGTAAACACCCACATGAGAAGCAAGGAAAGATCTAAATTCGACACCCTATCATCAAAATTGAAAGAGCTATGGGAGCAAGATCAAAAAAACTCAAAACCTCGCAGAAGGCAAGAAATAACTAAGATCAGAGCAGAACTGAAGGAGATAGACACAAAAAAACCCTTCAAAAAGTCAGTAAATCCAGGAGCTGGTTTTTGGAAAAGATCAACAAAATGTACCACTAGCCAGATTAATAAAAAAGAGAAGAATCAAATAGATGCAATAAAAAACGATAAAGGGGATATCACCACAGATTGCACAGAAATACAAACCATCATCACAGATTATTAAAAACAACTCTATGCACATAAACTAGTAAACCTGGAAGAAATTGATAAATTCCTGGACACTTGCATCCTCCGAAGCCTAAACCATGAAGACGTTGAAATCCTGAATAGACCAATAACAAGGGCAGAATTTGAGGCAGCAATTCAGAGCCTACCACCCAAAAAAAGCCCGGGTCTGGTTGGGTTCACAGCCAAATTCTACCAGAC